CATTAATACTGGAGATGTTGGTCAGCCCTACGGGGCCCTTTTATCAAGGGCGGGGGGGGGGGGGGGGGGGTGTTGCTCACTCTTGATTTCCCCTAAGCAGGAGAAATCATGTTCCTTGAACTGATGTCATGGTCTCGTGTGGTCCTGAGGTGAATGTTAGACGTGGTTTTGATCCAGCTCACTCTTCTTTCTTAATAGGAGAGCATTAAGAGCACCTAGTGACCCGTGGAATATTGCTCAAGATGCACTTTAATCCAAAGCATGTGGGCTCTTCCAGCTGGATGCCTCACAGTGCTCTTGGTGCAACTCCTCGTGCTCATCCTCTGCGGAGAAGAATATCGTCATTCAGTTTGGATTGTTAGTTTTGTAAGCAATAAACTTGTGAAAAACTAAGATGGTTTATGTGACCCCTGTTTGAGCCCCCCCCCCCCCCCCCCATCCGCTGAGTTACTATATTCTGATCAACTTGCTTTTGCCTTCTTTCCTAGGAAGTGTGTAGAGAGCTCTGGTGCCTTAGCAAAAGCAACCGCTGTGTGACAAACAGTATCCCAGCTGCAGAGGGGACGCTGTGCCAGACTGGCAGTATTGAGAAGGGGGTAAGTTATTAAAATGTTTTGAATCAAATGACCAAAATAACATTGTCTGTAGTTCAAGAGATTTTTTTCAACCAGTTTTGTGGTCAAACCCACATGTGGACATCAGATCGAAGCTAATATAAACAGTACTGAAAACCCTGGACATTTTAAATGACCAGGTCTCCATGTAATGGATCGACACATTTTCTTGTATCAAGTATTCTAAGGAAGTTTCAGGTCTGATACCAATAGTAGTATTGCTCTCAGTACATTCTTAGAGTATTTTGGAAAGTGGACTAGAACCTGGAGAATCTTCACAACAGTGAATTAAATTACAGACTCCACTTCATGTCCTTTTAGTTATTCAGTACTGATGTCATGAGGAACCCGAAGGACTTTAATGAGTAGATCATTTGTCTACTCAGTATGCGGTACCTTCAGCATGTCAGTACCTCACTGCCTCAGCATCTGTACTGCTTGGCCAAAGGACCCTTTTTTCCCTGAGTGTGAGCTCATCCATAGACTGCAGCACATACAGAGCAGGTTTTAGGTCGTCCAGCCAGTGTTGATGCCAGTCAGGTTAGAAGAGACAGTTTTAACACGGATTACTGCAACCATTGTCACTGGATGCTCTGTGGTCTAAAAGGGAAGAATACAAGTGTGTCATGAGCTGTCACCCATGATTACCATTAACTCAGTGGAGCCTTTGAGGGCAGGGGCCCACGGACAGAGTTCTGGACAACACAGGGGGGCCCAGGTTGAGCCCTGGGGGCTTTGGACAGCTTTCGGAACAGCTTTAGGAGAGCCATTGGCGTACCCCATCTGTCCCGAGCAGGGGCTGCTTCAAAGGAATATGAATGTCAGCCATTTCTCACTCAGCATGTAATGGAGTGAGGCATTTTCAACAGGAGCTGGGAGACCCAGAGGGAGAGAATGGGGGAGGGTGCACAGAGGGGTATGAGAGAAGCAGAAAGTGACCGGCAGAGAACAGACGGACACATATTTTAAGGCCGTTGCAGAAAGCAGAACACACCTTCCTGCCTTCCTTCACTGGCTTCACCCCCCTCCCCTCCCCCGTCCTTCCGCTCACTTTGTCTCCCATCCCTCGGGTTTGGTTTCTTCAGTGAGAAATCATGGAGAAAGGCAGTAGTCCAAAGTGAACCTTGACTGTTCCAGTGTCTATGGACTTTTAACTAAATGATGATAGAAAACCCCCGATCCCTTCTGCATCTGAAGACATCTTAGCATGAACATGACTTTCCAGAATACTTACCAAAGTATTCTGGAAAGTCATGTTACTTAACAATAGTCCTCTCTGCACCACTCAAGAACTGATTCTTCACCAAGACAGCTATAGAACTATGGAGTACGAAAGAAGAAAGAACATTAGAGAAGTCAGAGTGTCGTCTGCAAAGAATTGATAAAGTGATTCACAATCCGTATCCGTATGTTCGACTTTTGACGGATCATTCGCCTTCAATTTCACCCTTTTTCTTGCCTACTCTAATGTTATCCCATCTATCACCATGTCCTCTTTTCCAACTGTCCCTCTGATCTGCTCATCCTGGTCACTCCCAGTGAAGATCTCAGCATCTTTAGTGCTGTCTCACCATTGTCTCATAAACCTGTCCTCAGTACTCAACCCTCTGAACAATAACCAAACCTTCTTTCTTCTCTCTCTCTCTTTGCCCTTCTGCCCAGTGGTGCTACCAGGGGGAGTGTGTTGTGTTCGGTACCTGGCCTCAGAGTGCGGATGGAGGCTGGGGGCCCTGGTCGATGTGGGGGGAGTGCAGCAGAACCTGTGGGGGCGGTGTGTCCTCCTCCACGAGGCACTGTGACAGCCCAGCGTAAGTAGGCAAAGTAAGCCACAGCAAGCTGAACACACACATCCAGGTCCTGCCTATGCTTCAAAGGAATATGAATGTCAGCCATTTCTCACTCAGCATGTAATGGAGTGAGGCATTTTCAACAGGAGCTGGGAGACCCAGAGGGAGAGAATGGGGGAGGGTGCACAGAGGGGTATGAGAGAAGCAGAAAGTGACCGGCAGAGAACAGACGGACACATATTTTAAGGCCGTTGCAGAAAGCAGAACACACCTTCCTGCCTTCCTTCACTGGCTTCACCCCCCTCCCCTCCCCCGTCCTTCCGCTCACTTTGTCTCCCATCCCTCGGGTTTGGTTTCTTCAGTGAGAAATCATGGAGAAAGGCAGTAGTCCAAAGTGAACCTTGACTGTTCCAGTGTCTATGGACTTTTAACTAAATGATGATAGAAAACCCCCGATCCCTTCTGCATCTGAAGACATCTTAGCATGAACATGACTTTCCAGAATACTTACCAAAGTATTCTGGAAAGTCATGTTACTTAACAATAGTCCTCTCTGCACCACTCAAGAACTGATTCTTCACCAAGACAGCTATAGAACTATGGAGTACGAAAGAAGAAAGAACATTAGAGAAGTCAGAGTGTCGTCTGCAAAGAATTGATAAAGTGATTCACAATCCGTATCCGTATGTTCGACTTTTGACGGATCATTCGCCTTCAATTTCACCCTTTTTCTTGCCTACTCTAATGTTATTCCAACTATCTCCATGTCCTCTTTTCCAACTGTCCCTCTGATCTGCTCATCCTGGTCACTCCCAGTGAAGATCTCAGCATCTTTAGTGCTGTCTCACCATTGTCTCATAAACCTGTCCTCAGTACTCAACCCTCTGAACAATAACCAAACCTTCTTTCTTCTCTCTCTCTCTTTGCCCTTCTGCCCAGTGGTGCTACCAGGGGGAGTGTGTTGTGTTCGGTACCTGGCCTCAGAGTGCGGATGGAGGCTGGGGGCCCTGGTCGATGTGGGGGGAGTGCAGCAGAACCTGTGGGGGCGGTGTGTCCTCCTCCACGAGGCACTGTGACAGCCCAGCGTAAGTAGGCAAAGTAAGCCACAGCAAGCTGAACACACACATCCAGGTCCTGCCTACAGGTGTGTGTTTGTGTGTGTGTGTGTGTGTTGGAGTAGAAGAAATTAAAAGTATTACAAACGCTATCACTATTTACTGCAACTTTAATATTTTATTAGATATTATATGAAAATAATTTAACCTTTGTTGGGATTCCGTTCCTATTGCGTGAGGAAACTAAATTTTCCCTGTAAGTCGGAACTCACATACTGTATATAAGTACCTATGTCACCCACCTATGCTAACACAGTGGTAACATCATAATCTGAAGAGTGGGATTTATGCCTGGGAGCCAAAATGAAGAGCAAAAAGTCCCAAAAAAACAAAAACAAAACAAAACAACCGAAAGCCAATAAAACACAATCCAATGTACAGCGTTGAAGCATAACTGAACAACTGTCCATGTCCACGTGCAGTTTGACAAAGATTTAAGACGCACATGCAGTGGCTTTTCACACCGCTCACTCCCTAACTGTGGATGACAGTGTTGCATGGACTTCTAAAGCCTCCCGTGAGTCCACTCCAGACTCCAGACAAATGGTTATTCAGTGCATTTCTGTGGACCAGCGACATGTCTGGGAACCTCGTATCCATCTTCAGTGTTTGCATTCCTCAGTTTTGGAAGCTAGGTATTACGTCAAACAGATCATGGGAAGACAAAGGAGAGAGAGAGAGAGAGAGAGAGAGTGAGGGAGGAGGAGGGGGGGGGTTGAACCCAAGGGAAGGGATGGCAACAGGGAGAATTAGGGAAGGTGAGGTAGAAGAGGAGACTCTGTCCTAATATGGACCACCTGTGTGAGGTGAACGCTGACGTTCAGGGCTGGAGAACAGAGTCACAGCAGCAGTCTCTAACTCATTTATTACAAGTCCTGAGTTGATTCCAGTGAAATGCCGAAGAAGGTGGAAAGAAGGCAAGATATGATGGGAGCTGAAAAACCAAATCCTTTAGAGATGAAGTGGATGCGAGGTGGAGAGACGGCGGGGTGGGGGTGTTGTTCTGAGGTTACACACTCCCAAATCTAAATGTCATGTCACACCTCAGAGCTGTTAGGACATCTTGGATTTCATGAATGAATCACTGGCGTAGATGCTGAGCAATCTAACCAACTCAAACAGACGTCTGGCGTAGGCTTCTGTTTTTTTCTTTATTGCGAGACTTTCCGAGAACACTTGTAAGTTGTTTTTTTTTTTTTTCGTAGATTCTTCTTTGATTTGTGCATTCTGATTCTCGATGTGATGTGTGTGTAGAGGATGATGTCGCCACACATTTCTGTGCCATCTTCATTGGCTTCTCCTGTGTCTTTGTTAGACCCTCTGGTGGAGGAAAGTACTGCCTTGGAGAGAGGAAACGCTACAGGTCCTGTAACATCGATGTGAGTTTACTGCATGTTCTACAGCTCTCTACATATATTCTACACAGCGTACCTTCATGACCATAGTCGGTCTACAAGAAATTCACAGAGCCATCACAAAAAAAGCCAAATACATGTTTTTTAGGGCCCTCCCCACTCACAATAAGAGCTCAATAGTCCTTTTATTTGAAACGTATCTGGTCTTAATCATTAGTTTTCCATGTTTTGTTAATAATTGTGAACCACTTTAGAGGAAAATACATGCTTAACTACAATGGAGGATGCTGTATGTGAATGGATCACTGTGATCAACAGTGACACCTTTGATCCTGCTCCTGCTGGAGAGCTGCCTCAAACCTTTCTTTTTTAAATGTTACACTGGATTGGATTATAGTTTTAAAGCATTTGAGTTGAACGTGAGGGGGAAACTGTTCACTGACTGAATAACTGAATACAAAAGCATTGGCCTCAGTTCCCCTTAGACTTACTGTACAACTACACAGAGAGTCATGGAAGCAACCTGCTGTCTACTACAACCACAGCTGGTAGTTATAACCACTCATTTTGGTTTTGATCAATAATCAATAAAAATACAACGTATGTAGTGTGACAGGGTGGTAAATGTAAGTCATCGATTTCACTGCTTGAGTGATTTAGGCCAATGCTTCTCAAACTGTGGGGCGGGCCCCACAAGTGGGTAATGGAGACGTGGCAGTTGGGGCGTGACAAACAGGAGAGGACTTTCTCTTTTTTTTGTATAACTTTGTGTTATTTCATGTTTAATGATTTTGATTCATTATTAAATATGACGTTGTTAGGTCAATACATTTCAAATGTAATTTTTCAAGATTTTTGTTGGGGTGACGGGGGCAGGTGCCGGAAAAGACCAAAAAAGTTTGAGAAAAACTGATTTAAGCCATCAGTTTCCTTTGTATTTCAAAAAAATAACAATAGCATTTATCATAATGCTATTTATAAGTTTTATACAAGGCTGTTCCCTGGGAATGTTCCTCTGTCTAAGAGGAAGACACTGAGCAGTCACAGTGAGAGAGAGAGAGAGAGAGAGAGAGAGAGAGAGAGAGCTGCTGTTGCTCTGCCAAGGCAGCCCTAAGTGGAAAAATGGAAAGAGTTTGTACAATTATGCAATAAAATATGTGCTGATGTCCAGAGTGTGTTTAAGCGACGGACAGATTTCCTTCTGTCATCATCACCTCTGGTTTTTCTCTCTCATAAAGTGCTGCAGGAGAACGAGTTGTTCTGAAAGTGTTACTAATTTATTACCTGCAGGGTCAGAGAGAACAATCAAGTGATTTTTCTGAGTTAACACCTACTTAGCTTTAAATTCATGGTCTTAGCATTAGCATCGCTGATGACCGAGAGCACAGTACACTGTGACTATAAGTTATTCACGTTTTGTTTACCTTACATCCATGGATGAGGATACAGAATTCATTTGAACAGTGTGTGCGTGTGGTAAAACTCTAGTACATTTAGAGAAACTAATTGTATTTGCCCGCTGACCCTCTGATCATGTAGTCGCTCAAGTATTTCCGTCCAAGTGACCGTTACCATAGGTGAGAGGCGGCTTGGTGTAGGCGGCTGCAGAGTAACGTTACCGTGCGTTAGCACACACCGAAAAAAAAATACTGCCGACTTCCACTGCTTTCAGGGGACCTCCTGTGTCACTTGCTCGCACAAACTGATTTATCAATACCCTATTACAGTGTTTCCCAAACTTATTTTCTGGGGACCCATATTTTGAAAGTCACCAACCTCCACGACCTAAGTCAATAGACATTAGTCGTAAACTCCTGGGAAACATGATGCGAGACGACCCCAAAAAAAACCTCCTGTGACCCACCTGAGGGTCGCGACCCAGTCTTTGGGAAACAATGCCCTAATAGCAAGATTGATCGGATAAAATCATAAAAATTAATCACAATTAAACAGTTATATCATTTCCAAAAAAACATCTATCTATCTATCTTTTACAAGTATAGCTGCAACAATCTCCCAAGGAGACAAACTCACACACATACTTTTTGGAATTGAATGTTGAAGAAACTGTCTTTATGGACACTTGGGATTGTAAACCTGGGACTTAGTTATGGTTCTAGTGGTGCTGTGTTGCCCACATATTCTGGCCAAAGATCCAGTTAAGCCGTCACATCTCTGCTGCTGTGGGTTTCCCCTGCAGGACATGATCTCTTGTCCTGTGGAGAAAGATCTCTGAAGGGGACGCAGTCATCAGCTAAATCAGCATCACGCTGCCTGTTAATCTGTCTGCCATACTTTGTTCCTGGAAGCAGCTGCAGATGATGATAAAAAGGATCGTGGCAGTCACTTTATATTCCCCTGGCGACTTGGGGTCTCTTTGTCACTTTATAACTCACGTATTGTTTGTGACAGTTTTATCAAGGTGATGACCGTCTCAGACAGTATTTCACTGGGAGTGAGTTTTGCAGACCTGGGTTTTAGTCTGAAGCAAGGTTTGAAACAAATATTTACTGTGGGTTAAAATATAGGTCTTTTTTTCACAGGGTGAAAATTGAGAGAGTTAGGGTCCTAAAAATAAGAAGCGAGAGCAAGCAATGAATGTTGTCTTTGGAAAATAAATAACAGCTCTGACCAGATGCTATTTTATCACACTGACCACACCTTGTCTAGTGGTGTGTGTGTGTGTGGGGGGGGGGGGGGGGGGGGTAAGCTTTAATTCATATATTGCGTTTAGGTGAGGGCAGCACAGCAGAGTAAACCAACAGTTTGCAATGATGAGATAAATTAGACAAATATATTTTACGTGAGATATTTTGTAAATTCCATTTTACAGAGTTCAAGTTTCTATATTGTTTTCTCAGGTTACCAGGTGGGAGGTAATCTTCCCTAACTCTAACCATACCTTAAACTCCAAACTAAATCTTCATCCTCAAAATACCCTGCAAAATGTCCTCACAAGGACGAGGGGTATTTATTATTTTTATAATTTTTTTCTTCATCCTCAAAATACCCTGCAAAATTTATTATTTTTATAATTTTTCCAAATATCATGTTTATGTATTTATTGTTTATTTATTTTATAAAAAGAAGTTTAAAGAACACATTAAACATACTTTCTATTTTGTTTGTCTAATGCAGTGATTCTTAACCATAGGACCGTGGCCTAAACTTGGCCTGCCTGCACCACCTAGAGGGCCGCAAAAAAACGTTCAGTTCTGCACCTAGGAGGTTCGCAAGGACTGTGGGACCGCATAGGTTATCAACTGAAGACCACGATAATGCATCACTCAGTTCTTTAACTAGCTCCAATATTGGGAGAAGAAGACTGGCGTCTTCTGTATGCTAGCTGTAGCAAAAAATATAGAGAAAAATGGAAATAATGAAGACCAACGTCATGCAAACCCGCCCGAAATTACATTTTTGCGTAGGTACAATCCCGACTTCATCAAATATGGCATTTGGCCCTGGGCCACTTTGTGCTAAAGAAATTGGGCCTCATTGTCAAAAAGGTTAAAGACCCCTGGTTTAATGTGTTCATTTGTTGAGAAGACGTGAAGTTCTTTTAGAACTGAACATACACAGCAGATATCATTTTGCCCTTCACTCACATTTCAGCACGCACTCGTAATAATAATACTGTTCTGTCTCTTCACACACTCTGTTTGATGTGAACATTTTAAGCTGCCATATTGGCAAAACACTTGAGCGGTAATGAAGCTGCTCAGCCTCCCGTGGCCCACTCCAGCATGGAACACTTTCAGCATGAGAAATGCAGATTTGACCCAAGAGCTTTTATCCGTCCTGAGGGAGAGTACTTCGGGGGTTTCTAAGGACCTTTTCACACCAATAAAACGCTTCTTTGCAGCTTTTTAGAACATGCACTTATACTGGAGACACATTCGCACAGTCCAGATAAATCAGCCCAGAATCAGAGCCAGAACCAGGTCTGCACCAGCCTGTGCTGCAGAACTGGGCTCCTATACCTCCTCTGGCTGAGTTTATGTTTCTAATTACCCGGCCAAAGAAATGCTTCATTATCCATCGTAAATCCACACATGAAAACAAAGCAATTTCTTCAAACGCAAAACACACTGTTCTCAATAAGGAATTCCAGGGAATAAGTCTGCTTTAGTGTCTGAAAATACAAAGTGACATCTTGTGACATCTTTTGTGCATTTGTTAATAACAAAGGTTTCCATGCAAATAAAAGCCTTTCAGAATAAAGAAAAAGTCTAATGAGGTAACTCACTTAGCCAAAATGTTACCAGCATGCGAGGGTTTATGTGGACGTTTTAAAGGGCATTTAAGTACACATTGTTGTTTATTTATTTATTTGTTTGACTTTCAATAAGACACGCTGATTTATTTTTTGTTTAGAGCAATAATTGTTGTCTACACATTTATATTGAAATAGAAAGTAAAGATTTGGGACGTTTTGATCTATGTCTTCCATCACAGTGAGCATCTGTGGTTCCATAAATGCTAGGATTAACATCAGTTTTCTCCATTTGTTACTGTTTAACATTAGTTTGTTGTGAATTAGAGCAAACGTAAAAACTGTTTTCAGACGATTTCCAGGAATAATTTAATTCAAACACAAGCTTTAAAACTAAGTCTTTATAATTCATGAGATTGAATGAGTAATCTGATCATTTGTAATAGGACAGATGCTCTAAATGCTTTCAACATTTTCTGCTTGGCAATGTAAATATGGCATTATGGTATTTCTTTGCTGACGTAGAAAAGGAAAAAATTCAACTCATGGATCTGTGACAATCCTAAAGGGTAAAATTAATGAAAAATATAAATGAGTCTTGGAACATTGGCTTGGTTTTTAAATTGTAGCTTCAACCTGTAAAGATAGCAAAGCACCAGAAAATTGGAGTTAAGACTTTTTTTTTTCCTTTTTCTTCAGGCCTGTCCTGCTGGGTCACGTGACTTCCGCGAGAAGCAGTGCGCTGATTTTGACAACATGCCTTTTCGGGGGAAATACTACAACTGGAAACCTTACACTGGTGGTAGGTTTACACTGATACACTTTACACACATTTAGTTTCCTTTTGATTTTTTTTTCTTACTTTAAGAAAAGAGAAAAACATCTAACCCAGCTGGACGAAGATGATCAAACTTTTACTGTAAATGTTGCTGTATGATTAATACCTGGCACCTTATTAAATGACAACACCTGTCTTTTTGACTTGATACTTTTGAGTAGTACTACACAAAAACCAACAATCCGGCCGTCTCTTCCGTCTCTCCAGGTTTAGGATTTTACACGGCATTCCATCAGTACGTTTGCAAGTGCTTACAGAAGATGACCTCATAACCATTAAACACAAGATTGATGCGTTTAAGTTGCCAAAGTCTGTAAACAGGATGAATGTCTCCAAAACGGCTGTTTTTAATACTTTTTTTGTACTGCAGCTCACAAGGAACCAAGCAGAGACTTGACAGATGACAGTTAGATAAAGCCTGACTTATATTATCGTCCTGTTATTCTCTAAGTATAACGTCGATCTTTGTGGTGAACTGGTTGTCAGGTGACACAATGGGACCTCACTTTCAACATTCCGGTGAAACTGCTAATACAGTCATCGCTCGCTGTATCGCGGTTCGACTGTTGCGCCGTCAGTGCATCGCGGATTTTTTATTTTATTTTTTTTATATATAAATGTATTCTTGTATCGCGGATTTTTCGCTCTATCGCGGGTTTTTGTGGTATATATATTTTTTTTAAATTTCCAATATTTTCATAATTTTCCTAATACAATTAGCATTTACGACAGCTAACAATGAAATGCCGTTGGAATTCACAATTTCAATCCATTCCTCCTGTTTTTACGTCAGGCGGTGTGAAGCCTTGTGCCCTGAACTGCCTGGCCGAAGGCTACAACTTCTACACGGAGCGCTCTCCTGCGGTCATTGACGGCACCCGGTGTCTGGCTGACTCTCTGAACATCTGCATTAATGGAGAGTGTAAGGTAAGATGGAACAGGAGTCGGTTGTTTAGTTACTATTTAGAGTTGAAACATATCAAGGTTGTTGTTGTGGGAACTACTTTGATATATTGTTGATGAAATATTCACCAGGTTCAGAACAGACAGGTCATTAAGACAATATGTTTGGAGAGAAAAACAGAGGCTTTCACTCAAACTACTAAATGTTTTGATTTGTTTGTTAAGTTATAGAGATGTTATCATTCTTGCTAGCACGCTATTTCATTAGCAAAAGCATTATTAGCATTGGCAAGTCTGAAACAGAGGGAAATCACCTTAGGCCCAGTTATTTATATTTGAATAAGTGATTATTTTTACAGTAAAAAAACAAACATAAAAAGTGAACGTACAACTGAACTTCAGCTAGAACTGTATACAGTAGTATACATACAAATACGAACGGACTATATGACCAAGCAGACAGACAGACAGACAGACAGACAGATAGACAGACAGACAGACAGATAGACAGATAGACAGACAATCCCTCTGGAGTTCTCTTCGGGAAATTTAGGTCAACAACTGTGTTATAATGAGAAAACATTGAACGCTATTGACAAAAATGCTGTCAATAGTACTAATTCCAACACATGAACAGTTTGTCCAATCACCACACAGACAATCAAGTTTAGCCCCGCCCACTGCTGATTGACTCAGAGTGAAGAGTGAAGGCTTTCAAGAAAATAGAGGTTTTTTGTTTTTCAAAATCTTCCCCGATCATCGTCAGTAAAAATAATATATTCCAGGGCTGCCCCATAGAAGTCCACTGAAGCGAGTGCAGTTTGGTAACTCAGTGTAGTTAGTAAGAATGTGTATGTGACAGTTTGTTTAATGTTGTTGTCATCAGTATCTTTGTGACTTTGTTGCGCCCTTGACTTTTCATAATCAGAGCAATATATTTGATAAGTACAATGTAATAATGTCTGATGTGACTGATACCTAGAGCTATAAAAAGTAAACCGTTGTGATCCCGTAATAAACATTTCCTCATGTGGCCTTCAGACTGCCAGCATCAGGAGAAATGTTGGCAGTCCGACTTGGGATGTTTTAGTTTATTAAAAAAGACACAAAACAGGAGTAGGAATGAAAATCAGACAGGTTTCAGTGCGACTGGACAATTGAAACAGAGTGAGAGTTCAACTATTCACTAAAACCAACAAACTCCTCCGTTTTCTACTGGTTTTGACTCGTGGACTAGTCTCACATCTTGGTAGTTGACATAAGGATTGTTGATTACAGTCGCAAATCTAATCTTCACCGTTTTGTAATGATTTAAAAAAAGAAATCTCAACATTTTTTCAACATATGACTAATCCCTGGATATGGAAGTCATAAAATTAATATAAATACATTGAATTAATATAAATATTAATATATGAACCTGTGTATTATTTGATTGGTTTTTGGCTGTTTCCTCCATCTCCTGTCCCCTCTTCTTTTACTCCAACCATCTCCATGTCCTCTTCCACCACATCCACCAACCTCCTCTGAGGTCTTCCTCCTCCTCCTCCTCCTCCTCCTCGTCTGTTAACTCCATCTCCAACATCCTTTGTCCAATATATTCACTGTCTCTCCTCAACACGTGTCCAGACCATCTCCACCTCACCTCTCTGACTTCATCTCCAAACTGCTCCACCTTAACTGTCCCTCTGATCTGTCCATCCTGGTCACTCCCAGTGAAGCTCTCAGAAACTCCTCCTCCTCCTCCAACTCAGTCTTTGGTCTGTTAGACACAGACACTGCCTCTGAACCACACATCATAGCAGGTCTCGCTACTGTCTTATCAACTTGACCTGTTATTCTTCTGTCACAAATCACTCCTGTCCATTTGTTTTTGATTAGCTCAGTGTTGAATGTCAAATTCCTAGTTATAATTATACGTGACAGTAGACCTCATTTGCTCTAACACACAACTTCATACAGTGAATATGGTGTGGGGTCGGCGTTCCGTTTCTCTTGACCCCGGTCTACACAACTGCAGCCTTAATGAAAGCTGATGACGGACCGTTCTGTTCTTTTTGTCTGTCATTACGAGTCTTCAACTTTGACCAGGACTGTGTTATAACAAACAGCACAAAATAATTGTTTTTATTGAATAATGACTTTGATATATTTTTGCAAAGGCTGATTTAATAACAGATCAAAATAACATTTCAGTGAAAGGAGCTGGCAGCGAGTGCTGTCTTTGTTTTCCTGAGCCTAAATCACTGTGTGTGTGTGTGCGTGTGTGCGTGTGCGTGTGTTTGTCTGTGGCGATTTCTTTTTTCCTGTGGATTTTCTGCGGATTTTCTGTACTGCAGCTGAAATAACTTTTTGGTTCCTCACTTTAAGTATTTGCTTTGACTTCCACCTGACCGTACAATTTGATTCCTGTTTGGCTTGAAAATGTGGTGTCCGTGCCCAAGACATTATTTTGATTCTACAAAAAAAAAAACACAACATGATGTGGGTTTTAATGGGGGAGCGCTCAAAGAGGTGGAATAGTTGCTATCAAAGGAACGTTGCAGGTTTGTTTCCAGTCTGCAGCCAGTCTGTCATATTATTTCAAAGGCTGGCTCTCTGGGTTCACAGCCACGCTGTGATAAATCTGAGGAACACTGGCTGCTTGGAAAACTGTCCACACTACAAAACTGCTTTGTTGAGCACATATGTTGGACAGAGAAACGAAAAAGAGAGAGGGAGTTCTCAAAAAACATAGAGGGAGACGGTGATAGTAAGAAGCTGGGAGGTCTGAAAGAGGAGGAGGAGGACGAGGAGGAGGACGAGGAGGAGGACGAGGAGGAGGGAAAGTATCTGTGACACTGATCCTCCCAGTTCTGCAGTTACACAGTAGTGAGATGAAAACTGTTATCACACAGTTTAGAAATTGACTCTGTGTCTGGGTCGAACACACACTGTTGTCTTTTTCATTTTTACTGAGATTCATTCTCACCCTTATCCTACTGAGATGCATTTTAATTTAGACGTGTTATCATTTTATTTTAGTTTTACTTGAAAAAATAAGTGTTTGCGTCCACTAAATTGGATTCAGTCAAATCAAATGTAATGTGTATTGTTTTCAGTGTTTATATTATATATATAATTTCATGCATTCTAAAAGAAAACTGTTTTCCAGCAAAGACTCATATATTATCGTGTTATACTATTCACTAAGACATACACAGACATACGTATGCAGTAGTATTAAAAGGTTGACTAGACATTCATTCAGACGTCCCGCCCCTTAGCCCACAAACACAGCTCTGATTGGCTCCTGCCTTCATTTGCTCCTCCAGTTTACACGATGATTGGTCTTTGTTACTGCCAGTTTTTTTAATCTCTTTTCTATTCGTTAACTGAAGCATCAATACATTTCATCACCGTCGTTTAGCTCCACAGAACTTCCTAATTAGTCCTCGTCATTGATAACTGATAATTGATAATAACAATAATATTATTAATCCTCGCTCTCTTTTTTACAAAAGCATGTGGGCTGCGACAACATCCTGGGATCTGACGCTAAAGAAGATCGCTGCCGTGTGTGTGGAGGAGACGGCAGCACCTGTGAGGCCACTGAAGGGCTCTTCAACGAGTCCTTACCCAGAGGAGGTACAACAGTAGACAATACACTGTACCAATGGTGCAATTCTGTGTCATCCAATCATAAACCAACAATTTTAGTAGTCACCTGAACGTCATCTCATTTTTAAATGAACCCCCCATCATATGTAGAGAGGAAGCTATTCCTAACTCCACCTGTGGTTCTGAGCGTAGAGTGGAGTTGGTTAGGAGACGGGGGAGGAGGAACTGGGGGGGGGGGGGCTCTAGGAGAAAGCATCTTGTCTAAACCCATCCAGGAGAAAAGCACAATTTCCACCTTAGTAATTCACTAACACAGCCTGACTGTGTTATGGCTATATGAAATATGTCGTCAAACATAATATTTTCTACATTAATTGCATTACGGAGTGAAGAATTAAGGAGTGCAGACCGAGGCTGTGCATTGGCCGTAGCCTGAAGTCATCTATAGAGAGCAGGAGAGAGAGAGAGAGAGAGAGAGAGATGGAGAGAGAGAGAGAGGGGGAGAAAACATATTTCTCCTTCTATGGTATGGCCTGTAAACCCTCTAAAAATACTGTGTGTGGAAAAAAAAGAAGGAGGGGGTGTTTTGTCCTCCTGCTTTGTCCTTTTTCGGGATTTTGGAATTTCTTCTATAGGTACTCCTGCCTCAGATTATGTGTGACTTTCTGTCTGTTGCTGTCAATGGAAATGATGTCCCATGGAAATGAAAAGAACACTGTGGGTGTCGTTGTATTTCAGGATACATGGATGTCGTTCAGATCCCAAAAGGATCAGTTCATATCGAGATTAAAGAGGTTGCCATGTCCAAGAACTACATAGGTAAGAAACTGCCTTTGACGTCTAATATACAGTACATATAGTTATAAACACATGACGTTATATTAACTGTTTTTTTTTTCTATTACCCTGTTTTCCGGACTATAGGTCGCACTTTTTTTTATCCTTTGGCTGGGTTTGCGACTTGTACTCAGGTGCAGGTGAATAGAAGTGACTGACATTTTTGGTCCTCACAGATGTTTCAGTTTTCTGCCTTCAGACCAATATTCAGTTTTTGGTGTAAACTATACTGCAGTAGTATTGGGAGAAACTAGCACTGAAACTGCTTCAGAAACTGCAGTCTCAGGATGGGCCCAGACGTCAATCATGAGGCTGATACTGAGTCTTTCCAATGGTTTTATTTGAGTCTGTGGTCATAAAAACGTCAAGATATTTTTCTGCAGTGAAACATCTAATGTCCTGCCATCGGAGGAGAAAAAAAACAAAACCAAAAAGTCTGCAGTGACAGATGTTGTGACCTTAAAAATGTAGTTGAAAAGCTGAACTAAAGACGCAGTTGGTGACCTTTGACCTCAGAAGCAGATTTCGTTGATGGTGCACAAGTGTTTAGACATAGGTTGAAGACGTATAGAGAAATATATATTTTTTATTTTATAAGTAACGGTTTTAGTGTCACAGCATGGAGGTAGTTTGTGTTTCAGGGTTTTAGACAGATTAGCGTCGCTGATGTGTGTCCAAACGTGTGAGCACCAAGTTCAAGTTTAGGTTTATGTCTGAAGTGAGTTATTGAACACCATCTCATTATTGATGCATTAAAATGTGCACACGCTCTGTAATTGACTGCAGTGTTATGATTTGGCAGTTTGTAACATCTGCCTGTTTCCTATTATGTGTTTTGCTCTGTGTCAACCACATTTCCTGGGATTTCCTTGTCAAGAGAAAATTAGAAAGCGCCATCATTTAATCCTCTATTGCCTAATGTGAATCTATAAAACAGTCTGTTAAAACACAGAGAAGTGTAATGGCCGCCCTGGCACCGGACCCACACGTTCAGCTCCAGACTAAACAAAGACTGTTTGCAACACTGGCAGCTTCAGAACCAAAACAATCAAACAACCGGATTCAATTAAGTCAGGTCTGCATCTATTCATTAGCAAGAAAAAGACATGTGACAGCTTGTTGAATTTCCAGCAGATGGTGTTGATGAAGGGCTTAAGTTACACTTTGAATCCGAGAGCTGCATCAAATTTATAGGGCCTTGGTGACAGCTGCCTGGTCCACCAGGATTATGGAGGATATGATGTCTATATATCAAAGTTTAAAGAGTGCACTCTTGGCTGTTGTGTCGGACTAGATTTTCCCCTTCCAAGCAATTTGTAATTTGGTTATGAATTTCATATGTGACCACAATGATTAAGGTAATATTTTTCTTCTGTTGCAATATTCGAGCGGCTGCTCTTTAGGCCAGCAACGCGCTCTTCAAAAAGTGTTTGAAAAGTCAAACCCAAGTACGGAATTATAAAACAAAGTGTAATTCCCACTGAGACTCTTGCAAACTGGCCAGTTCAAAGGAACGACATCACAGAGCTTACAATCTGTGACAGATGAGCTAAAAAGGAATTTATTGCATGGAGGATTGTGATGCATTCGGGATGAGTAAACTGTTGCCCGTGTAATTTACGTAAATGCAGCACAGGGGAGTCTGGAGAGCACGAGCCAGGGAGACACAACACTGAGCGTTTGGATCATTTCTCCCCAATTTGGCCTCGTTTCAATGCAGAGAAAGTGGATATTTTCAGATCTGTTGTGCTTGGAGACCACCGTGTGTTTTGACAACCAGACAGAGTGGTTTTCATGAGGTTCGTCCAGGCTTTCACCTGAAGTGTGTTTTCTTTCTCCTCTTAAATTAGACGTGTCAGTGCACGTGAACGTCTTTA